GCTGCCTGCGGGGCAGGGATTGTTTGTACATTTAAGGAATGCTCTGCAGCCCGGCTGGGACGGCCACGCTGCCAGCTCCAAGGGTGCAGTCACGAGCCGGAGCTCGGCCGCACGGTGGGAGCAGGCCAGGAAAAAAAAGAGGCTGAAGCGGGTACAGGTACAATTCTCGGAGGGAAGTTTGCTTTGGATAAAGGGAATCGATGCTTTGGCAAAGCTACGTGACTGTGGGCAGCTGCCAGCACCCATCAGTACTGGGTGCAATGTCCATCCTCACTGCCCAGGGTGCCCCACACAGGGGTGACCCTCAGGAGGGACCTGGCTGCTTCTCCCTGTCAATAATGTGGGATAAGGCAGGAGGGACTGAAATAGGAGCCTGGTTTTCCCAGGACCCTGGTTTTCCCGTGCCCAGGCACGGGCATGCTGGAGGAGAGCCAGCGGGATGCGGCTGCAGTCCAGAGGTGAGCTCATGGCTGGGGGTGCCGCCAGCTGTGAGCACTCAGCTGGCATCCACTGCAACATTTGGCACCATCTGGGTGCTGGGGCCCAGGTGGGAAGTGACCCTGGTGGGAGATGGATGGGGCAAACAGCACCCTGGGAGCACCCACCACTGCTGTGCAGCAGCATCAGGGTCCCTGGGCACTGGGGACATGGTGGCCCTGCCCACAGGGCACAGGTGGCCATGGGGCTGAGCAGCTGTTGGTGGGCAAAGCATTTGGCAACAGGCTATTTTTGGAAGAAAGCAGGGGAGGAGGAATGCTGCAAAGGAATGGCAGCTTGGGCACAGCCCTCAGGGAACCTGAGGCTCAGTACTGCCAAGGGAAAGGCACAGGATCTGGCCTTGGCTGCACAGAAACACCCGCATCCATCTCCAGATTCTTTACCCATGACAACCCAGACTTCTCTAGCAGAGATGCTGTGGCTGGCCCTGCCACATATCCCAGCTTGGGGACGATGTGACAGCCCATACCTTGCACCTGCTGCTCATGCTGATGCAGCTGCCACTCCCCAGCCCTGGCACTGTGGCTGCCACCCCACAGCTCACCCCAACTGCACAGAGCCAGTGGAGCAGCTGTGGCAGTGCCAGGCCAGGCGTGGGCTGGGTGGGCACTGTGGCACCTTCCCACCCTCAGCCCAGGGCACAGGGTCGGGGCTGAGTCCAACTGGGCAGGGATGAAATGCTCCCCACCAGTCACCAGGATGGATTCTGGGGCTCTCCCACCCCTCTGCCAACCCATCCACAGCCGAAGCACATCCCAACTTTCACCTTCCTTGGGATCATCCCAGCTTTGAGCCAGCACCCATTCCACCTCCCTTGGGAGCATCCTGGCTCCATGCTGGCATCCAGCACGTGGCATCCACGCTGCTGGCTTCGTGCCTGAGAGGGTCCACACATCCCCCACCTCACCTAATCCCTCCCACCCTGGGAAGCTTCGGCTTCCTCCCCCGCACAGCCCTTGCTGCAGGTAATTAAACAGTGCTGGGGCCAGCACAAACTTCCCGCCAGGCTCCACGCACGCTGTAAATCAAACGGGAGGAAGAGAGAGCAACAGGAGCCGGAGCCAGCGGGTGCGTTTCGTCGGGGGAAGTGGCCGGCAGCTCCCTTCCGCCGCCCGGCCGGGTATTGTCCTGCCTGGGGACAGGAAAAGCCTCCTCTGCCGAGGCCTGGAGGCCTCCTGAGCCACTCCAGCAGCAAAGGTGCCCTTTGCACCAGCACTGCCCTGCTGTCCCCTCCACTGAGCCAAGGACAGGCTGTTTCTCCCCCTGCCACCTCCCGTGGCCCTTCAGCTGACACCAGCGGCCTCGTGGCTGCACCGCCCATCCCAAATGTGGAGGAAACCCTCCCACTGCTCCCGACCCCCATTCCTTTTGGTATGACAGGATGGGCTGGACTCAGGACAGAAGCTTCTGCCTTCACCCAGCTCTGAAAAAAGGGGATGGGACCTGCCAGCTCCCAACCACGTCCAAATTGCCCCAGGGACCCCATGACGTGCAAACACCCCCTGAACCCTGCTAACTGTCCCTGGGCTGGGTGGGAGGTGTGGGGCTGGACAGGAGCCAGGAGGATAAGCAGTGGGGGCAGATGGCCCCAGTGTGCCAGCAGGTCGAGTCCCCCCAGCACCGTCTGGGCCTGGCTGCCACCACCATGGCACTGCTCAGAGCAGCCACTTTCCGCCTGGGCTGAAGTCGTGGCAGGGACAATTGTACCAGCCACTTTGGTGCCAAAGGCTGAGCTTTGGCCGCTCCCCTGGGCACTGGGGCTGGGTGCTGAAGGGGCTGGGCACACAGACCCCCCGGGGCCAGAGACAGGGGAACCTGCATGATCCCAGCTTCCTTCAGAAGCCATGAAAGCGTTGTTTCTAGCCCCAGTGTTTCCACAGAAAAGTGGGATGCTACAAGCAGAGCACTGGTGTGGAGGCTTGGCAGCGAGAGGAGGAGGAGGAGGATGCGCAGGGAACCAACCACCCTGCGGAGGCAGGGCTGTGCTGTGCCCTGGGCTCTCACCTGTATTCTCCCCTTGTGCTGTTGTACCAATGCCAACTCGGGAAACTTGGGGCCAAAACTGGAGCTGCTTTGCTCAATTACAATAAAAAAACATCAGGGATGGGGCAGGCTGGGCACCTTGGCACAGCTCAGGTACCGTCCAGTCCCCACGCCCCAGCCCCAGCCAGCCCCCTGGGACCTTTGGCCTCATGGTCTAAGGGGTGATCTCCCCTTGGACTCCTCAGGCCCCTGTGCTGGAAGGAGACAGGCCTGGGAGAGCTGTTCTTAAAGCTCCAGGCTTCTTCAGGCCTTTTCCCTCTCCAGGGGCACAGCTATGGCAGCCCCCAGCCCCGCTCA